GGAATGGGTAGGGGCAGCTTCCCAAAGAGGTGTTGCCAAAGCTGTTCAAGATATTTTTTTTAAACCCACGATACAGTGAATCCACAATAAGTGAGGAGTGACTGTATGATTTCACTCTATTAGGACAACATTACCATATTGCCCAAAATAGTCAGTTTTATATAAAATTAAAAACTAGTATACTTTTTAGCAAGACAGAGAAAGCTTCAACTCAATTTTAGGAACTGAAATCCAAGAATGTATAAAGAGAATTCTCCACCATAGACTGCAGGAGTTTGTTCCACTCATTCAACTCTAGTTCAACATTCAAAAGTAAATCAACAGAATGCACTGTTACAGTCTGGATCTCAGATGTCCCCAAGGCGTGGGCGTTAAAGACTTGGTATCCAGCCAGTCACACTGCTGGAATGTGGTAGACTCGTTAAGAAGTGGGGTTCAGTGGGAGAAAGTTAGATTATTCTGAGAATGCCCTTGAAGAGGACATTGAGACCCCAGACCCCCTCTCTTTGTTTCCTGGGCACCATGAAGTAAGCAGATTCCCCTGTTATTTGTTCCTTGCATGATGCATTCTGCAGCCACAGGCCCAAAGAAAAGAGTCAAGAAGCATGGAATGAAACCTCTGAAACTGTGAACCAAAACAAACCTTTCGTTCTACTGATATTGTTACAGCAGTGGAAACCTAACACATCCACCATCTCAAGAGACTGAAGAAGAAAAATCGTCATAATTTAAATTGGTATTTTCTAAGTATTTGTCAAGCTAATAAGCTTTAGAAATTTTTAAACTTTAGAAAATTCTTAGTAATTAGGCATAGAGAAGTTTCCTAAACTTAACAAAATATATCTACAAGGAAGAAAGAAGGAAAGAGAGAAAGAAAAAGAGAGAAAACAAACCATAGGAGGCATCACACTTGATAGTGAGAAATTGATTGACTGCTTCCCTCACTAAGATAAGAATAAGACCAAGTGTCCTCTTTCCTTCCTATACCCCCTCCTCCAAAAAAGAAATACATAAAAGGTATTAGAAAGGACAAAATAAAACCTTCTTTATTCATGGATGACTCTATGTAGGAAATGTCAGTGTATCTTATAAAAAACTCCTAGACATAATAAATAAAAAGGAGTCATATGTTATACAGCATTATTGTTTATATCTAGATGGCCTCCCCCAAAGCCTCATGCACTCAAAGTTGTAGATTTGGGAAGATGATTGGACCATAGGAGTGGATTGGCTTGCTGATAAATTTATAGTTAAATATGCTGTTAGGAAGTGGGGCCTGGTAAAAATGGGGGTCACTGGGGGTGTGGCCTGTGAGGATGTATCTCCCTCCTTGACTCCCACCTTAACTCTCTATTTCTGGGTCACCATGCAGTGAGCAGTTGTCCTCCCCATGCCCTCTGCCTAGGCCTCATGCTTTGGAGCCAGCTGACTATGGGCTGAAAGGTGAGTAAAATGAATGTTTCCTCCTTTAAATTGTGGATGTGAGCTACTTTGTTCCAGTGATGAGGGAAGCAACTAAGACAAAGGAAAACATACAAATGTCAATTAATTTTGTGCACCAGAAATTAGCAATCAGAATTTGAAAAATAAGTGTAGGCTCATTTAGCTTAGTACTACAGGAATCATGCTCAGGAAACCTATGGTTGCTTCTTATTGTAAGAAAGACACTAAGTCATATTTTGAGGGCCAGTGACTTCTAAGACATAAACTTTGTCCTCAAAGAATGGCCAAGGAGATGGTCCTATCTATAATAATGTAGTACAATATAAACTTTTGAAAATATATAATTAGAATGTAAACTGTTGGAGAGCATAGTTTTAAATTATTTCCTACATTTTAAGTAATAGTTTACATATAACACCTCTCAGAATATAGAATTATCTAGAAATAATATTTTTCCAATATCTTCTAAGAAAATATTGTCTTCTTTACATCAAAATGAAACACTTCTTCTTCCAGAATGAAAGCCTATATTCTTTATAATATTAAAATTCTTTATGTTCCTAATATTCCTAGATTTTGGATCCCATCCTAATGGGAAAATTTTAGCTGGGTCATCTCAAATGAGAATTTAGTAGAAATAGGTAGTTGAAGGTAAAAAGACAGAAGTGGCCCAGTGTGTGGTGGGAATATGTTCTTGGTGAGATCAGGAAATTCCTGGCTTTATCATCATTCCCAGAGTGACTGTTTTGGAGAACAACTGTGAGAAGTGAGCACCTTACACACACTTAACAAGGACCTCGAACCATAGGTCTTGGGGCTCAAGCTGGGAGCAGAGGGAGCCAAGCCTCACTTCTCTTGATTTCTGAAGCATACCATGGGGGTTTGTGTGCTGTTAGCACTCACAGTGCACACTGAGGGACAAAGAGACCACCAAGTCCATCCACGTATCCATTAATTTTATGACTTCCACCTGGCCCCACGGATTGCTAACTTGGGACATCTTTACTTTTTGTGAAAGGAATTGAGATGATTAAGAGAGCAGAAGCAATAAGATCTCTCTTACACTTAACACTAGGGAGTGTTAATAAGTGTTAGACCTGAATGTCTCAAGCGTTGTCTATGTGAATAACATTAGAGACAGAATGTGCAGGGAGCAGGGGCAGCAAGATGGAACAGACAAGTACAGCCCAGGATCAGAGTCACACACAGACAGGTCTGTCAAACCCTCTGTTATGCACGGGTTTTTGAATCTTTGGTAATTTGTTTTATTTCTGCGAGTTTTAATTTTATGACTGCCACAGATGAGATAATAATATGCAACCATGACTTGTTCTAAGAATTGTATGAAAAAACTAAAGAGCATAGTTCATTGAAATACACAATAGTAATCAGTATTTTTACAAAACAGTTGCAGACTTGAATCTAAAAAGAACAACATGTAGCTCTTGAACATCTAGGGAGAGAAAAGTTTGGTTTTTGTGTTTACATTTACTCATTCTTCACTGGGTGCCATGCAGGGAAAAGCATTTCAGAGCACTTCAGTGTGAACACTAGTGATGTGATACTCAGATACTCAGTGAAAGTACAGACTTCTGTTGCTGTCCCAGATGCCATGGGTTTTAAGTCTAAAAGAAAATGACATCTAAGTTTCCTGATATTTTAGGATTTCTTGGGGGTGGATTTATGAAATGTGAAGGGAAGAAGGTTCTCTGCTAAGGGTTGGCGGGATTATGAATTCTCACTGATCTACCAGAATTTCCTGTGCACTGTAGACAGCAGCTCTGAATAAAACAGAGTAGTGGGATGGTGTGGAGGGGGAAAGTGTCTGCACTGGGAGAACTCAGCCAACATATGGTCTGAGATCATTGGAAGGAGGAATCCCTCTTATAAACCTGTAACTTACTCACCCAATAAATACTTATTAACTCCTGACTGAGCCAAGCTCTCTTCTCAATGGGATCCTAACATGACAAAACAGATGTGAGTCTGACTACCATGGACAGATCATCCTGGTTGGTTGAGAGGACCGTAAACAAGCAGTCACGTAAGTGCTAAGTGCTCATAATAAGAGAAACCAAGCTGGACCCTGCAGTGAATGACACTGGAAGATAAGCAGAGGCAAAGGGAACCAGAAAGAATGTTTTAGGAAAGGGAAAGAATATGGGAAAAGTCCCTGCAATGACAAAGAGCTTGACCTATATCTTAGTTACTTTTTCTTGTTGCTGAGACAGAATACCAAACACTCACATGTGAAGGGAAGAAAGATTTATTTTGGTTCACAGTTTATAAAGGTTTCAGTCCATAGTTGGCTGACTCCAAGGCAGGGTGGCATGGAAGAGGGGCATTACAGAAGAGAAACAGATCATGGCAGGCAGAAGGCAGGAAGGCAGGATGCAGCAAGCAGAAATGACCAGCAGTGACCCTCTTTCTGTCCCTTATTTCTTACCCAGACTGCCCACTCTCAGAGGGTGTAGCCCCCACACCCAAAATGGGGCACACTTAATTCTAGCATCACAGTATTAATCAATACCAGCATCATATCTCTGATTCCAGCAGCACACACCCTAGATCCAGCCACCTCTGAAAAGCCCCACCTATAATTGCATGAAGCTTTGGGGGTACATCTAGATATAAGACATAACAAACTATTCTAGAAAATTGAAGAATATGGTTTAGAAAAGCAGAAAGGAACAAGGTCATTCAGGCCACCTGGTTTGCTCCTTTATGGATTAAGCGGTGAATGCATAGGAGAGGAAGTAGAAACAACCCTTTCAAAGCCCAGCTTCAAAGAGTAGCAGCTAAAAGACCAAGAAACCTTTTACCAAGACTGCTTTATCTTGGGGGCATTGAGATCTGTTCCTAGGCTAACCTTGCTCCTCTTTACCCCCTGAGGGGTCTCCAGTCCACAGGGTTGGAATTTCATGGGAGGGAGAACATGAATAACTACCCAGAACTGGGATGAGAGCATAGTAAACTGTCGCATTCTGCAGGGATGTGGAGGGCATCCTGGCAGACTGTAGAGCTGGGCTTTGTTACTGGACATACAAGCTACACTAGCATTCCATTTGGGACATATCAAATCAAAGGAATATGGGTACCCGGACATACCTGGAAGCCCACAGCCAGGAAGTGCAAAGGGCTGAAGCTGGGGCAGGCTTTCCACTTGTTTTCATAAGAGTGTCAGCTCTGCTGCTCCCTCACATTGCTCTCTTCTGAAACCTGAGAAAGTGTCTCCAGTGCTCGCTCCTGGAACTCTTCTGTGTCTCCTTCTCTCAGCCATTCTTTGTATCTCCCTAACCTCTATGGTGTAAAAGGTCTGATTTTGAATTTGGCACCTCTCCCTCACTGACTTTGGAAGAAACTTGATTTTTCATGTAAATATATGTTCTTGTTCATCTAGGTGTCAAACTCCCTGAGATAAGAGATTCACTTCCACCACTGGTTCTTTTTTTTTTGTCTAAGCCTTACAGATAAGGGATACTCCAAAATAAGTTTTTAGATAAAAAAGGTTGCATTAAAAATGCACTTAGTAAAGGAGGGCTAAAGAAGCCTGATACCTGTGCCAATGCTGACTCTTCTTGTGTGCTCCCGGCAATGCCTCATTTCAACATATGTGGAAAGGGATTTCTGCTTATGTCCAGTCTGATGAACTTATCCTGGCCAGAGAAGTACAGTCTTCCCCTTAATTCTGGAAAGAAAGGTTGGTTTTTCTCATTCTGGACTTCAGTGCAGTTCTCTGCAGAATGCAAGGCCAGCTGCAGCCTTAAGCCAAAACTAGCTACCTGACTTCCCATGAATCTTTCTTGTTCTTATCAACACTAGTGCGGGTAACATAAAGTTTGACTTTCTTCTTTACCCTATTCCTGTTAACAGGAAGTTAGACTGCTATTTCAAACCAAAGGATTACCAGGCTTAGCATGATAGAACCACACAACTGTGATATACTTTGTCATCATACTAGATTTCTCAGATAACACAGCCAGACCTAGAAAAACAAAGGTCTTCCCCTGCTTTCAGGGCTCCACTCTGTTCTTGTTGGCCCTCAACCTATGATCCCAATAATTTCTATCTTGGTGATGTTTGAACATTTGTCTTTCATAGAGATCCTCCTTTTTGTCCGCCCATATTGGTTATGATGGTCAAAGGATGCATAACGATACTAATAACATGGCTTTTGCAGCAATATTGATGAAGGATAGATGTGTTTATATCCTTCTAAGTCTGGTATGAGAAACTCTTTTATGGGCCATTGGAAAAAATCTAAATAAGAATAGATATAAAATATAACTTATGGGTTTAGTGTTTATTTGGAGCATCCAGACATTATTCCAAAAAGTAGAAGTGTTTCACTGAATTATCTGTAATAGTACCATAATAGGGCCTTGATAAAAATCATTCTTAGTACCTTTGAAATCCAGTAAATAATTCACCAATCACCACGATTTCTTCATTTTTAATAATCTTTCAATCTACATTACATCTACTCCCCCAAAATGCTACAAAAATTTGTCACCATGATTATCACCTAATTTCTTTAAAAACCTCATTTCAACCTTCTGTTGTCTGAACTCCACTCCCCATTACTCCAGTTCACTCTTCCTAATACTCCTCATCCAACAATGTTCAACATCATTTGACTTTTAATGTGTTGAACCTTTTACTTAGTGATTTTTCATCTCTGCCACTGGGTCTCAACTTTTTCAACCACAGAAGATCCTCTTTCTGTTTTGCCAATCATTCCTTTTAATGTGCCCTCAAATCCCAAGATCCCTCCCAACCTCTATTAAACTGCCCTGGCATAATGTCAACCCTGTTTAGACCAAATTTTCCACTCCCGCTAACATGGAGCTGTGCTGATCAAATCGATGTTGTACTTACAACCAAGTTTTAAGGAAGTTTGGTGCTGTCCAGCAGTAATACCACACTTCTCTGATCAGACTTTGCCCAGTGCCTGCGATAACTATTTCACGATTTCTTCTCTTTGTTCAAATCACTACTAACTTCTCTCCTCATTATCAGCCTTCTTTACTTTCTACAGTGAGAAGTAAGGAAAACTCAGAGGACAACCTCTTGTTTTTACTAAATGTACTATTTCTTCTCTATGTGCACACTTACATGCCCTATGTCTTCTAGCAAATGGAAAGGGTCTCATTCCTGAAGCCAACTCTGTCAACCATGTGTTCAAATCCACCCCTTAGGGACTTTGTTTTTGCTTTACCTCACTGTTTTCCTGCACCATAGAACTTTTAATCTCTACAAGAGACTTAAGACTTTAAATACACACTAATTCTTCCACCTTTACAAGGTGTTCTCTTGACTTCCTAACTCCCTCCAACCACCACCCTTTTTTCTCACTCTTGCTTATAACAAAACTACTCAGAAATTGTTTGCTTACTTGTTTCCATATTATATGTTCTTACAAGGTATCCAACAACTTCATGGACTTCCCTCTTGGAAGAGTGACTTCTTTATAGTGAATTACTAGGTTTCATTTCTGCAAGACATTAGTAGGATAAAAGAAATAAAGAAAGGTATAAAGAAAACTGTAATTCCAAGGTACGATCAAAGTTACTCAAGATTAGCCTTATCTGTGTTCCAAGTCTTTATTCCTAAACTTATTTATTTTTTTCTTCTGAGCCCATCACACCCAAATCCCTTAAAGATAAGTCCAAAAATTAATCTACTTGATAAAGTAGTCAACCTCACCTTGAGATAAAGAAACAGTTTCAAGGAATCCAAAGAATGATTTTGGCAAAACGTCTTAGATCACTAATTCCAAAAGATATGTCTAAGACCACATATATATCCCCCACCCCAGACCATAGTGCATCTCTCTCTTGAGTGCCTGATGCTATTTTCTGCATGGGTACTTCTTCCATTATTCCTAATAAATCTGCCTATGCTTTTTGTACTGATTCACCCTGAAATTCTTTTTCTGTGGTGAAAATTGATGACCCTACTCCAAGTAGTGGAGCTTGACGTTCCCCTCTTATCTTTGGGGGACTGCCTCACACCCATCAGATAGCGACTGTTCCGTGACATCATGAACAAGTTCAACACACCTTTCTCCTGGATGAATTCCAGAAGTAGCCTGTGCTCTGACTTCCCCTTTTCTTGCAACCCTCCCTGGTAGCTTCATTTACTCTACATTCTCCTCAGATATCTGGCATCTGAATGGTGGAGAGCACCGAGGTTTTGTCCTTTGTCTTCTTTTTTCCCTTCTTACACATGCTTTGGGAGACCTTAATATATTAAAACAATTATTACAACAAAGACACATTATTGATATCCTCTTCAAAGTAATCCTCCTTGCTTCAAACTCAAGTAACCCATCATTTTTTCCTGCTTTTTCAATGCAACTGTGGAAGTCTTTCTCATAAATATCTGTATGAGATGGGATAAAAAATACAGTGAATGCTGCTGGCCCATACCATCCAATAAAAAAAAAAAAAACAGGCTGTTAAAGACCTTACAGAGAGTCCTGATCATAGGTGGGGCTTTTTAGAGGTGGTTGAATCTAGAGTGTGTGATGCTGGGATTAAGGATGTAATTCTGAGATTGGTTCATGTTATGATGCTAGGATTATGGATGCTCCAACCTCGATGGAATATATGAGACAGAAAGGACTGCTATTGTCACTGCTTGCCACTTGCTGCTTCTTTGCTTCTTGCTGGCTTCTGCCTGCCATGATCTGTTTCTCCTCTGTGGTGCCCCTCCCTCATGCTGCCCTGCCTTGGAACCAACTGATTATGGACCAACACCTATACAAACTGCGAGCTAAAATAAACCTTTTCTCCTTTAACTTTGGGTGTTGAGTATTTTGTCTCAGCAACAAGAAAATAACTAAAACAGGGATTAATGGCAATCTGTCTTTTACTGTAATAAATTAACCACTCACCACATTTTTCAGTCACACCATGTATTAATGAGAAAAAGACATATTAATGAAAGATGCATTTCTAGTTTAGGAAATACAACACTGTTAAACTTTCTTTCAGTCATCCCAAATTAATTTATACACTCATTAAAGTATCTGTTTTGTAGATGTTCACAAGCTGATATATGAATTTGTGTTCCACATCATCTAGAATAGTGAAGGAAAAAAGAAAAATGTTGGAGTGTATATACCATCTATTTTCAAACTTACTGAAGTAACAAAGCGATGGTGACAGTGTGGTTTTAGTGGAAAGACAGGCAGGTAGACAAATAGGATGGAAGAAAAATTGAGATATATATGGTGGCCAACAAGTCTTGAAAACACAGACAAGAAATGTAAGTAATTTGACAAGTGATAAAATAATGTGTAAGCAGATTTTATGGACACTATAAATCTACTATATACATGCAATTACTAAATTACCAAATATACTGAGATAATTTTGTGGGAAAAGATTTTTTAAAACTTGCACTAGAAAAATTGGATACACAAAAGGAAAGAATAAACTGAAAGTGAAACTTAATAGCAAATGAATAATAGATTAAATGCTGTCCAGAAATGTAGTTATTTAAAAAGGAAAATATATCTCTGCACACTGATATGAGGCAAAGACTCAGACCACAGACAGCACTAAGCATCACATTAGAAAATAAACTTAATTTAAAAATTAATACTCATCAAAAACCACTGTGAAGAAAATGAAAATGTGAACCAAAGACTTAGAGAAAATTTTTGCAATGCATTTGCATCAGGAACTGTACTCAGAAAATATATGTACTCTTACAGAGTAATAATCAAGTGAAAATTGACCTATTTAAAAGGTGAGAAGGTGTGAATAAAAGTCTTGAAGGTGTATTTCATAAGATGATCAGTATAATTAATTGTCAGTAAGACAATGAAAGTCATAGTAAGTTACCACTTTAAACTTACTAGACCAGGAACAATTTGAAAGATAGACGAATGCAAGTGACTAGAGGCAAGATGGAACTTGCAGACAATTGAACAGAATATACACATAGCTGATGGAGCCCACAATCACTTGAGAAGACATGGGCACTTGATTACAAGTTAAACACATAATAATAATTGAGTTAGAAATTCCAATCCTGTATAAGCATGTCCACAGGGCAGTTTGTATAAGAACGTCTGTAGCATTCATTAGATTCCACAGCTGAGAACCACCCAGATACCCACCAACAGGTTAGTATATAGGAAAATGTACTACTGAGAGCTGTCTCAAAATAAAAAACAGGTTGATGATTTAGCTAAGTGCAAAAACCTTGGATTAAATTTCCGGAACTAGAAGAAACAAAGAACTGTAGCAGTTACACATCTTTCAAACTGTGTTGGCTTTAGTGTTTTAAAACGGTATCAATAGATGCGAGTTAGCCACAAATGGTGTATGCTCACTCTATCTGCACTATGTACACTATAGGAAACTGGAAGCAGCTCAAGTGTCACCTGATGAAATGAACGAACAATGACATTTATTAACTGATACGTTAACTACTCAACAAGTCAATTAATGAAATCATTCATCAGTGAAATTAATGAACTACATTAGGTACAAACATCAACATGAATGAATTTCTCAAATATAATAAACAAACATAACAATCTTTAAAAATATATGCAGTATGAATCCATTTGTTTAAAGCTGAAAAGCAAATAAATTCTAAACCACTTATTTGAAAATACATGTCACATAAAATAACAAAATTATAATAGAGTTAAGAGGATGGTGTACTGAACATGTGGAGGAAGTGAATGGATGTGAGCAGATCCTTCCAGGGACTTCAAAACCATTGGTCAATAATATTTCTTAAGCTGAAAGTTGAATACAGTGGTATTTTTAATCACCTACTTTATTTTACAGAGTATTCCTGGGATGATTGATTGACTATGTCAATCTGAGTAAGAGAAACTCTGCTAGATGGGCTCAGCAATTCTACATTGGGTATGGAAGATCCACCCTAGGGCAGCTTGTCGCCTGGATGGTATAAGGGGAAATGAAGGACAGACCTGCTTCTGTTTCTTCAGAGGAGCTCCAGTTTTTGCCTTTACCTTGGATATCATTTCCTGACTTCCAGCGCAGACTCTTCAGCTTGCAGCACAGACCCACTGGCCTCCTGATAGGGAATTGCATGGGACACTGTAGTGAGCTCCAGACTTCTACTGAATCCTTTAGTCTCCAATGTGCAGACAGACTCTACAGTCTGGTACATCTCACCCTATGGTGGTCATTGTGAACCAGTCTTGTCAATTCCCATATATTATATCTTGTGTGATATCTGTTTCTTTAGTGAACACTGACTGATACATCCTTATATATAATATATTGTTCTTGTGAAGTACATGATAAATAAAGTCAGTTGGAAAAATAAAATATCTATAACTATGGCATATATTTGAATAGGACCAAAATTAAGGTGCATGTACTTTTCAATCTTGAATCCCATGCTGATTGTGGAAGGGGTCCAGGATAAACTGGACTCTCAAGGACAAAAGGGAAGCAGAAAGACATGGTGGCCACACATAGCTCTCTTAGCCACAGTCAGAGGAGGTGCCCTTTTTACGGAACTGTGGCCCTGGACCTGCAAGAGCAGAGCATACGGATGTGCCCTGAACTCATGGGACAACGTGAAATCTCAGGCCTCACTGCAGGCTCAGAATGCTGTCTCTCCTCCACTTCCACTGAGGCACACAGTCTTAGTGTATCTGATCCCTACCTGGAAGGGCATAGGGAGGGGAATTCTGGGAAACAGCTCCCCATCTGCGGAGGTGACACAATATAGTGTCACCATTGTTGGGAAGAAGCCCCCAGACTCAACTTGTCTGTGCAGATAATAAAGCGCTTAGACCTCAAGAAATCTTGACAAGGCATTTCACTTCTGCAGGAGGGTGGACACATGAAATAGCAGGTACACAGGATGAAGGAGAGTTTCCCCTTTCATCCCTAAAGCAGGAGAAGCAGCTGACCTTTAAATTCACTGGCTGAATTCAAGAGCTTTTGATCTATGGCTGCTGACTAACTCAAGTGGTGTTGGGGGTCTTGTGTATTGCTGAGTAAGTTGGGGGAAGATGGGGTTTAAAACAAAGTCCTTAGTTCTTATTATGAGGGAGGGGATGGTTAGAAAGAGAGGATGTATGGTTTAGAATGGGCAATTCTCGGTTCTTTATCTTGGAAACCAGCTGTGTTCTGGGAAAAGGTACATAGTCACCATTTCTTGGAGCTCAGTCTATTAACTGGGGTGTGGTGGGTGGTGAATCGATGGCCAAGGCATTTAATCCCAAAATGGAGTTGTTTTGGCCTTGTGCTTTGGCAGAAAAGACAAAGCCTGTTCACCACACCATGAAAGCATCTTTCTTCTTGAAGGACACAGATCCTAGGTACGCTGTAGTTGTAAATGAGATGGATATTTCTGGAATGGATGAGCAGGTGGCTAAACCATGAGAAGTCTGTGGAGAGGAAAAATACTAATGTGCTATGAATTAATCAGCCCATGCTGATTCTCACACTGTAAATTATCATCGGACTTCTATGTAGATGATGCTCTTGTTAGAACTTGTATAAAAGCAATAATCATCCATGAAAGAGCTACACTGATTGGAGTACTACAGTTTGCCTTTAAATAAACCACTCAAAGCACCGAGAACTGTAGGGAAATGTACATTATATAGGAAATATAGTGATAATCCATCATATTGTACTCCATATAAGCCAAGATAAGTCCCTATTTTTTAGATTCTCAAAAGACTGGGTCCCAGATATCACAGGTTGCTTTGAGCACACTAAAAATGCTTTTAGTTGAAAAAAATAACTGAGTAAACAGGACAGCCCACTGTAATTGTAGTCAAATAATGGAAACATCTGCCACATGGACAGATGATCCCACAAGACAGAACAGGGGCAAAGAGTGCAGACACAGCCACACACAAAGTAACTCCCTAAATAGGCACAGGGAGGAAAGGAAGAGACTCCACCCACCAAACAGCTAGGCATTGTGTAGAACAGAAATTGGAAATCTCAAATGTCAAAGAGCACATGGACACCAAGTCCCAATGATTATAACACAGGCAAATCAGCTAAGTCAGAAGTAACAAGGGATAGAGAGGAGAAGCACAAACATCACTCAGAGGTACCAGGTATCATTCCCATAGACAATTCTCAGTGCTCTACCAATCTGATCCTCAAAGAAACAGAAATAGAAAACAGGCTAAAAATGATGAACAACTGTGGAAAAACTTAACTGGACAGCTTAACTGGACAAATACATCAAATATGTGTTAGAACAAAGCCACATA